GCACATGCTCTTCCCTGTCCACTCCCCTTGCTAACTCCCTCCTTAACCCTTAGATTTCAGCTTCACGGACTCTTCCTCAGGGGGAAGCCCTGCCTCACCCCAGACCAAGATGGACTCCTTTGCTTTCGAAGAAAGAAATGTTTTCTTCAAGAGCATTTTTCTGTTTGTCACTCACCCAGATTGTATTTGCCTACCTAACACATATTTTCTGAGCATTTACCCTGTGCTGGGGACCTGGGTGGACAGCCGGAGCTGACATCTAGTGGAAAAGACAGTAAATAGGCAAAGAAATGAACATATGCCATAATGTCAGGCGCAGATAAGGAGTTAGGAAGGGTGTGGCTTTGGGGGAACAGGGATGATATTTAGGAGGGTCAAGAAGACCTCGGAGTAGGTGACATCACAGCAGAACAGGGACCAGGGTCAGGTGAGTGAGGCACTCAACTGCCTCGGTTACAAAACTTAAGGGGACACAAAATGATTAAGATAAAAATATTCCAATGCAATGTTTTAAAAAGTCAAAGATCAAAATGAACGGGGCCAAATATATGATGATGGACGGAGAACTGACTCTGGGTGGTGAACACACAATGTGATATATAGATGATGTATTACAGAGTTGTACACTTGAAACCTATGTAATTTTATGAACCAATGTCACCCCAATAAATTTTAATTAAAAAAAAAACATCAAAATGCTAGATAAAAACAATCAGCAACACTGCTGAGCTGTACTGAAGCCTGAGGCAAAAAGAGAATCAGTAACTGAGCCTGGAACTGGGAAGGCAGTGATGGTGGATGAGACCAGAGCGACAACAGTGGAAGTAGAGAGAGGAGGTGGGAATCTGGTTATCTTGAAGGTCAAGGTGACACAATTTGCTCAAGATTGCATGTGGCTGTGAGAGAAGGCAGGATGACTCCAGGGTTGACACTATAAGTGTATAATGACACTATATTACCATCTGCCTCCCCCACTACCCTGTGAAACCTACAAGGGCTGGAGCTGTGCTCCCCAAGCTGCAGCCAGTACCTAACACGTGCTAGGTGCTCCAGACCTCCAGGCAGGTCCAAGGCCCGAAAGGGTTCTCTGCCGTGTGTTACTCCATGTGGCCACCGGGGGTCAGCAGAGCGCCGCCCTGCCCAGGCCTCGTGGAGCTGGGGAAATGCTGGAAGCTGGTTGGGGGCGATTTAAGGAAGAGGGCATAGGAAAGCAGGATTAGAAGGAGCAGTGGAGACTGGGGAGCAGGCAGGTTCTGAGAAATGGGGGTGGAAGTGTCCCAGGCTGGGAAGCAGGGGGATGAGCTACTCTTCTTGTCATTTCACCCGTCCATCTATTTATTCAGCCATTCAGTCACAGGAGGTCAGGTGCCAGGCCACACAGTGCCTTGTCGGGCAAGATAATAAACTTGAAGTTTGTCCTGAGGGCACTGGGGAGCCGTGGGCGTGGTTTGAGTAGGGAAGAGACTGAGTCGGATTTGCAGGCACTGAGAGAAGGGAGAAGAAAGTGGACATTCAATAGAGTGGCACGTTGGTTAAGACTTGGCTTGGGACACCAGCTCTGAGCAGCAGGGCCCCGGTTCAGATCCCACATGACGGCCAGTGATGCTGCGCCCTCTACAGCTAAGACGGTGAACAACAGCTCGACCTGGAGCTGGGCTGCCGTGAGTCGCCGGCGACAGTGTAGGCTGCAGCTCCTGCTGCAGTGGGCTGCCCACTGCCGTGAGCTACCCGTGAGCGGCCGGCAGCTGGCAGCCAGTGTGAGCTGCCGTGAGCCACCGTGAGCGGCCGTCCAATGGCCGGCGAGCGACTGCCTCGCCCGGGAAGAGCGCAATGATGATACCAACATGGGCCAGTGAAGCGACGTCCTCCACAACTAGACTGAAGAACAAAAGGACAGCAACTTGTCTGTTCCCCCTCCCTGATTCCCCCAACACTCTTCCCCTCTCCCAATTCCCCAATAAAATCTTTTTTAAAACATTTAAAAATAAAGAGATAACAGGTTCACAGGGACTCTGCCTCCCAGGTGGGGACTGAAGAGCAGTTGACATAAATGTTAGCTAACATATAATAAAAGCTAACTGCTTTTGGACACAAGGTATCAGGCCCTGTTTTATTCATTTTTCATGTATCAACTAAATTTTCACACAAACTCATCATTATCCCCATTTTCCGGATGAGAGAACTGAGGCCCAAAAGGCCCAAATGATTTGTCCAACATCACAAGCTAGTTAAGGGGAAGCCAGGGTTTGAACCCCACCCATCCGACTGCAAAGCCCAAGATGCTTCCTGTGGCTGCTTTAACAGACGACTACACATTGGCTGGCTTCCAACAACACAAATGGATTCTTTCCCAGGTCTGGAAGCCAAACTCCAAAATCAAGGTCTCCGCAGGGCTGTGCTCCCTTTGCAGCCTCTAAAGGAGAGTGTTCGTCACTTCTTCCAGCTTCTGGTGGCTCCAGGCCTTCCTTGGCATGGGGCTGCCTCACTCCAATCTCGACCTCCACGTTCTCATGGCCTTCTCCTTCCTCCCAGTGTATTTCTCCTCTGTGAGTTGTCTCCTCTGTCTCTTATAAGAACACTTGTCACTGGATTTAGGGCCCACCCAGATAATCCAGGATGATCTCATCTCGAGATCTTTAATTATGTCTGCAAAGACCCTCTTGCCAAATAAGGTCACATTCCCAAGTCCCAGGGTTAGGACGTGGACATATCTTTTGGGGGGCCGCTACTCAACCCCCCACCACTCTCCTCCATGGTACTGTTGTTATTATTGATATCATTGGTATTATTACCTACAGACAGTAGAGGAAGGTAAGGACAGTGAGGAGTGGGCGCTTAATAATTGCAGAAGCCATCTCATCATTGCCTCGCCCTCCACAGCTAGTGTTCAGCCCCTCATCCCTTCTCCAGGGGGACACTGCAAGGGCGTGGAGAGAGAATCCCTTTCTATCTTGAAG